CCCCCCCCCCCCCCCCCCCCCATCGCGGCCCAAGTCCGCGATGCGGGACGAAATCTATTTGTCGACGGTCCCTTACTAGTACAACGCAGTTAACGCTAACTTTTATTTAAACATTTATACCTCCTCTTCCCAATCGTCATCATTTTCGTCCCCATCTGCATTCATTTGGAACAAAATTCCAGAGAAATTTTGCACTACTCCTCACAAAACTGAAAACTACAACATGTGTGGCATTGTGTGCTAGACAATAATACTATAATACTAAGTACTTTGCACATTTACAACCACTGACCACTAAATCGTTGAAGAGCCGCTCGACGCTCAAAATCGCGCAAAATTTTCACTTTTCAACAATATTCTTTTCGTTTATTCTAACCGAACTTCTTAATTCAAAGTTGTCTTCTTATTTTTTATCATGAATGTAAGCCTTTTGCGCATTTGTATTAAAATTTATAGAAATATTAAAAATACAAAAGTATGTGTGAGCTTGCGGGCGCTTTATCTGCATTCACATACCGGAAGTAAAATATCCGGAAGTTTTGAATGTGTAAACAATATAATACATTTCTGGAAATAATCGCAAATATATTCCACCTGTAATATACGATCTGCCTCGTTGATCTCTGCATTTCAAAACAAATATATAGTTCGACTCAGCATTTTATATTCATCACACAGTATAGTGACAGTACTCAAGATTTGAAAAGCTGTAATTTATTATGTATCGAGGAAGTTCCGGTCAAGTAAGTTGTTGAAATGGTCTATAATTTTAATATTTACCAAAGTTTCTAAAAGCACCCAAGAAGGGCTATAACTATTGGCATATCTATTGTTAAATCACTCTGGATATTAAATAAGATAAAAGCGTTGTTATAGCCAAACTGAAAGTGCTGTTAGCTGACAAAGTGCAAAACAACTTGCCTGTAGGCTGTAAAAATAGTTGAATATGTAGTTGTATACTTGGTTATTGAATTTAAAGAATATATTTAACTTGTTTACTATTTTGGGCCAATATTTCGGGTTTAAAAATGGCCTATAGCAACATGCAAATTGCAGTAAAAATTAACAATTATTTAATTGAATTAAAAGTTGTACATTACAGTATACATATGATAAGTTGCATATCTTCCAAGATAAAGTTACCCCAACACTCTCCTTGACGAGTAAAATTGCCCGGCATTAGACAAGAGTAAAATTAATCTGGTATTAGACCAAGTAAATTAATAAAGTTGGGTGCACATTAGAATGCAATGCAACTCAATGTGTTAATAGATATTATTTCTTTGTAAGTACTTTAGACTAGTATATTATAAACAATCTAAAGCAGCATTTAAAAGATATATTTCAGCTAATCCCAAGTAATCACAGCAGTATGTCTGCAAAGGCATGGGTGGCCAGTGTATATTACTGCAGGTTACTAATATTCAAATCAAATATATAAGAACAAAGAGAAAAGTATATCTGGCATTGCCATATAAAACACTTAATGCATTTTGACTGTTTTGGATTTAAATACTGATGTGGAATATGTTTCGGAATTCTGCAAGAAACGATGTGTACAATTATGAGGTTTGATTTCATTATTTGCAATATAACATGATATGTTCTTATAATTATTGCAAATGGTGTATTAATTGTAACCATTTACAATTAATCCATTGATGAGCACCGGCACTCTCCTCTTGATGAGGAAACTTGTCTGGGGTTAGACAGGGTAAAATAATAAAGTAGGGCACATGGGGTGCAATGCAACCTAATAGATTAATTGTACTGGCCTGGGTTTATTTTACTCTGTCTAACAACAGACAATTTTACTTGTTAAGGGGAGAGTGCAGCGAGTGCTGCTCAATGGGTTAACTATATTCGTTAGTGACTGCATTCAGTAAAATCCCCCCCCCTCCTCCATGTAAACCAGCATCTCTATTCCGTCCAGTCTGAAACACCTCCCAGGAATTGGTTACAATTATGAAGTGATCAAATTATATTTTTAGAGTGGTCGACCTTCTGATATTGGCTATGGCTATAGTCCAGATCAGCACACAAAAGTGCACTATACACGAAATCCATCATTCCTTGATAGAGTAGGAAGCAGTCTTTGTGCTGCTGTGTTTGGTTTCTTTATTGTTGTTGGAGCTTTTCCACTTCTTTACTGGAATGAGGTAAGATTCGTTGGAAGTTTCATCAAAGGTACGCAAGACGGAACTTCAGATCCTTGTTTAAAAAAATTCAATACGGTTGAGCAATTAGCCATTCCGAAGTTGATGAGTGGACTGGGGATGAGTGTTAAGAAGTGCCCAAATTAAGAAATGAGCCAAATCGCTAAAAAGACCACCTCAAAGTTAGTAAGTATGCAAAGTTTGAAGATGTTTACACAAATACCCTTCAAATAATAAGCTTCCGAAAATTGTGAAATTACTGATTAAAAGATAAATTGTTTTTGGGACGTGCATCCCCCAAAACAAAAATTACAGTACATTTCATAGTATTTTCAAAAGCTTATTATTCGAAGGGCATTCATGTAAATGTCTTCAAACTTTGTATACTTACTACTTTTGAGGTGGTCTTTTTAGTGATCTGGTTCATTTCTTTTTGGGCACTTCTTAACATTCATCCCCAGTCCTCTCATCAACTTTGGAATGGCTAATTGTGATTGTTCCTGTAAACGGTTCAAGATGGCGCCATATGGGGGATTGTCACATCTTTGAAACGAGTTTGGTGACCTCAACTTCTTTTCTCAGTTTCAGCAAAGTCTCATTTCCAGCACAATTACTGATGAACCACCTTTAAAGGAGTCTTAATTAGCCATTTCCCAAAGTCCTGGATCTAGTTGCATGAATCACTTAATTGTTGGAGCAATCTCGTTCCCCGAGCCTGCGATCCTTGGGAAGGAAACGAAGGCTCTGGGATAATCCATCTCAGACATACAGAAAACTGTAGTGATGGGCGATACCGAATACTCGGTATTCGATACCAGCGATACCACAAACAGCGGTATTGGTATCGATTACTGACGTGGTATCGTTCGATACTTGCACCCTTTTTTAAACGACTTGTTTAATTTCACTTCTTGGTTGAATAAGACTTAATAAACCACTAAAATAACTCTTAATATTCCAAATGTGGTGCGCCAAGTCATGTATAGAAAATATTTATTACGTTTCGGGCTTTTGGTTTACTTATAGCTTTATTTAGATTACATACAGTAATGTAAAATGTTTTTCCGCTGACCGGCAGGTATCTAAAGTAGCCGATACTAGAAATTTAAGTACTCACTTCCGGTATCGAAAATTGAAATTTTGTGTTCATTTTGGTATCGAAATAGGTATCGGTATCGGCCGATACCGATCCTAAAAGTATCGGTATCGGTATCGAATTAAAAATCCTGGTATCGCCCATCACTAGAAAACTGTATGTCGACCGAACTGCGCATGCGTTGGCAAAAGCAAAACAAATTGTTTGAAATATTTTATTGTTTCGTCTATAAAATGATGATTTTTTCGGGGTTTTGGTGGAAATGTTGATGTTCTTCATAGTGGGATACAAAAGGTGTGTTAGTGACTGAATAAGGAAAATATTGCGTGTGAAACAGGGTCAGTATAGAGCCGGCAGGAGTCGCGAAGAGTGCTGTTGTCGAAGAAAAATGTCACAATTAATTGTAATCTTGTCCATTCACCTCTGTGTCAGTTTAAAAAAGCTTTAAATTAGAGACATTTGTGGTTCCTCCAGCATAATTTAGCCGTTTAACGCTACTATGTTTCTAATGGTTGAAAGAGCGCGTGGAAAGGGCAATTTTCAAGAACAAAAACAATTACAAATTTACAATAGTGTGTTGGTACTGTAGTATAACAAACAATTGCTACTGTAGTATTAAAATACCTGAAGAGAGTCTCAATTCTAATATTAAGTCGGTTATAAACCTTGATAATAATAAAGTTTTCAGAAGATTTGTATATCAGAGAAATTTTAAAAGGAATTTAGACTTATAAAACATATAATTAAAAATATGAATATTGAATTCCATGTTTGTATTGTGTTATCATCTCTAGAAATAAACAGTTTATACCCAAATCCTTGTTATATTTTTTAACTGCCCTTATAGCTTTCCTTATACATATGTTTTAATATTTGCCAGCAGTTTAGTAGGTTAGATGCAACAGCACTTTTCAAATTATTGAATTATAACCAAATTTTGTGTCTGGATAGGAATTACTATTAAAGATTTACAGTTTGTAATGATAGAGTTGGAGCAAGTTAAGCTGCGTGCAATGTGCCTCAGTTTGCCCTACTTTGTTATTTTAAGCTGTTTAACACCAGAATTTTTTCTCGTCAAGGGGAAAGTATTGGACTTGGTATTTGAATGGGTTAACCAGTCCATCTGCATGTCTACCTATCTTTGGTTAATTATCTCATTAGATCATGAAGCTACAATGCTCTTTAGTGCACCCCGATTTGGTTATTTCACTTTACTTCTGGACAATATTTCTCACCAATGGCCAGAAATGTACTTGACTTCATGTTGATTACTGCCATTAATTAATTAACTACTGTACTAAATAGGACACTCAAGGTTGGAGATATAACAGCAATAGAGGTTGCTATCATTGTAGCATTCAGGGCGTCGCTAGCCCAAATTGTCAGGCATTTGGCAATTTATTGTATCGCAATCGGGAAATTGTTTTCGTGGCCAGCATTTGAATTGGATAGGAAGGGAAAAAACTGAAATATATGAGTTTCTGTTTCCCCTCCCCTTCTCAAAGTAAGTATGTGTTGTTTTATAGTGTAAATAACAAGTTTTGATATTGCAATCAAACTGACAGGGTAGTTGTCATGACCATGGTAATAAAAATATTTCTATGGCTCGGCATTTATATTGGGCAATTTTTTATCATTCATCACAAAACCTGCACCCTAGGTGGTTGCCTGCAGGGGGTCATAACCAGGGGGAAGCTGATGAAAATGAATTCTGGTATTGGTGGCTGATCACCATCATTTAATATTTTTTTGTGAATAAAACATTTCTTTAAAAAAAGTATATGAATATATTAAAAATATTTATATGGTCTCCCAATCTGGAATTCATACATTGTAACATTTGGATCAAAAGGTTTACGACATTATCTTGGACAGAATCCAATTAATACAACCTCGTACAGAGGGCAGGGCTTCTTTAAATTACTGTGTGGACAAGATTAACGAAGGGATTGCCAATTTGGCATATTGTACTACTCAATAAATTGAAATCATTAAATACTTTATGCTACAATTAGCTGTAATATTATACAGTATATTATTGTGTTTTATATGACGTCATAAATTTGACGGGGGTCAACTCTAAATGGAGACACAGTCATCAGAGTGAGTTAATTTTTCACTGCATGTGTTGGCCTTGTGTTTGGTGGCAAATACATGCAATTTCATATCATTTGCTCACTCCAGTACCGCATAAGCATCAATACATTTTAGGTTGACCCCCGTCAGAACGTGCGAAATGCCATAGTGAAACCCAAGAATTCATTATA